TAATTGTTTTTAATTTCATTTTTTTCGATTTAAATTTATAGCTCCAACTTATACTCAAACATCTTTAATTGTAGACAAATAACAATTCAAATAACAAAAACATTCATTTGATCACAAACATTATTCAAGCACGTTTTGCAAACCACAATCACCATGTGAATGCTCACTACGAACAAATTCTAAAAAATGAACAAATAATTTTGGTACTTTTTCGACAAACACTTTTCTTTTTTTAGTAACTCAAAAACAACAAAGAATTAATATATAATGTTCATTTTTTAAACTTATATTTGTTTCAATGATAGTTCACTTGGAAAAAATTACCTTAACTGGAAAAGTTCAAATAAATAGTTTATGTTAATAGTTTAAAAACTAAATGAATTAGTAAGTAGTTGGTTAAACAAGAAAAAAATATAATGGTTAAATAGAATAATATTAAAACTATCATAAATCCTTTTATTGTATGTTTCAATCAAATATTGAAAATTTAAACTACGACACTTGTTAAGTATTATTATTTGTTTTTACGTGTTTTTGAAAACAAACACGTCAAAACATACACCACCTCACAACGAAACGTTCTTGTATTTTTATTTTTATTGCAAAATTTGACAGATCAGCAGTATTTTTTATCATGGTGAGGAAATACTGTGTTTTACTATAAATTAAAAAATATCTATATAACTAAATAATCCATAGGAAACACTTCAAAATCTATCAAAAGTGGGATTTATGGTTTGGTTATTCTCAAGAACTTCTGCTTGATTGTGGCCAATGAAACATGGATTAATACAACAAAGAGTGTGTTTGGTTATTTTTTAGTTTGTTTTAACTGTAATTTTTATCATTTAACTTAGACTTGTCATTTAAGCCAAATTTGTCAAACTGTTTTGTTTTATTGGCACATAACACAAATTCAATTAATGATATTTATCACTTCGAATATAAATTACATTTTTGTTGTTTTAAAAATAAAATAAAAAAATAGGGATTATAGGAATCGAACCTACAGTCTTCACCAAACCGTTATCAATATTATTGAAAAGTAATGCACTACCATTGTGCTAAATCCCCTTTATATACTTAATGGTATGACAGTCATTACATTTACTTTCATCACAAAACTTGATAAAAACTAAGGTAAGTCAAACTATAAACAATATTTTAAAAACTGTTTTTACATTGTTTTTATAAAAATAAACCAATTATATAGTACATTTTTATATATTAATATTATTGAAAATAACAAATCCAAATACTTTTAAACACAATAACAATAAACGGATCATTTTTATCGGTGTTGTCGACAAATGATTATTAATTGTAATATTTTTACTTTTTAATTTATTCATTTTTTTCACTTTTTAACTTAATGAAATTACAACACTTATAAAAATAATAGTATTTTCATTTAAATAAACTAAAATAACAGAAATTGAAACCCAATTAAATTTATATTAAATAAAACAATAAAAATAGTGAATGCAATAATAGTTGTAATTGACAGGAAAATACTCTTTTCTCTTTTTTTCATAGATTAGTAGTGCAAAGAGTTTTTGTCTAAAAGTTTTTTGTGTTTAAATATTTTTTTTCATTAAAATATTGTGAAAAAGTGAATAAAGTCATTCTTAAAACCGTGCAACTTTGTTTATAGTATAATTATAGTAAAAAAATTATATGTTTTTAGAAACAAAACAAAAAAACAAAAAAAATTTCTGTAAAACTATTACTCTAATTAATATACTATAACTAAACTATAACTAAAGTTGCACATTTTTTCTCAATTAGTTTCTTGGGTTGCACCATTGAACCGTCTCGTGTTTACCTAATTTTTGCAGCAAAAAGTCTTTGAATCACACTAATTGGCTTGTTTTCAAGTTTTCGTTTTATAAACGAGATGTTTAACATCTGCGCCATTTACAATCAATATACAACACTGTTTTATTCGTTCTGTATGACAATTGGAAATCTGGATTTTTAATACTTTTAATTAAAACAAGCAGTTGAACTCATCATTTAATTATCGAGTTATATTTTATGTTGATTTATAACCTAATTCCATTTTTGTTTTTGTTATTGTTATTGTTGAAAAATAGAGTTTCCACTTTGTTGTGAGTAAAAAACAAAGAAAAAATAAAGTTGCACACTTATTCGGAATGACTTTAATCAAAATTTTCTCCGAACAATTCGCCGACCACATTCATCCATCTTTCTTCGCTCTTTCATTATAACGCACTCGAATAAGCGCTTTATACGAAACAACTGAATTTTCATTATTTTTGTCTTTCAAATAGAACAACGTTTTTAAATTTTTCCCAAACTTTAGATGCCTCAAATCAAACTCCACGCATCCAAGAAACACGTCACTTATTAAAAATCTTTTATGATAAAAATCAACAACAACATTCTTTTTGGTAGGGTTTAATGAAATAGCAAAATGTACATTCTCATAGACTTGGTCGACGCTTCTGACTTCCTTTTACTTCACCAATTTCCCACTTTCATTAATTACTGCGTAATAGAAAGTAGACGGCGTTTCAAAGTCTTTCGTACACAATCCAACAGACTCGACAACTTCAACTGTTAAAATTGGACTCTTGCAACCAGCTAAAACTGCTTGTATGACTTCCAAACACTCCTCTTCTTAGTACTAAATTGCTTTCTTGTTGATATAATTCACAAAATATCGTTTAACTCGATATACCCCAAAGACACACCCACTTGGCAATGTCAGGACTCTAGAAGGGGTATTTGATATCAACACTCTGTTTAGTGGTATCCAAACGACTCGATTGATGTGGTCCAACAACACTTCTTTTGTC